AAGATCCCCTGGAGGAGGAAAAGGCAACCCATTCCAGTATTCTTGCCTGGGAAATCTCATGGACAGAGAAGCCTGGTGAGAGGCTCTCCCTATGGTGAGAGTCCATAGGGTCACAGTGACTCGGACATGACTGAGGATGCACGCACAATATGGTTACATGTCACACCCTCTGTATTTGCCCTCCAAAGGAGGGTGAGGCTCAGAACCAGTTTCAACTTTTGAGAAAAAAGAAAAGAAGAAATCTCTCTGGCATGTGGCTTAAATGAAACCAGTAGAAAACTATGCTAATGAAAATAATATCTATCAGTAAATGTTGAATCACATTTTGGGTACAAGATACATGTAAAGTCCCGGACTTCTCTCAGCCTCTTGTTATCATAGAATGTCCATCTTCTTGTTTGTTTTCAGAGAATCAATATATTTAGCTCAGCTTAAAGAGTTGCCACACCATCAATTTTGACGAATGCCAAAGGTATCTAGGTATAACATTAAAAAAAAACCTTATGGTAGTTGAGTTGAAATATAAATACTACTTTCCTCTGTACAAATAATGTCACAAAACCAAGTTTCTTTCTCATGGTATAAATCAGAAGAAATTTACCATTTTAGTTTGTCCATGGGCTTCCCTGATAGCTCAGTTGTTAAAGAATATGCCTGCAATGTGGGAGACCTGGGTTCGACCTCTGGGGTTGGGAAGATCCCTTGGAGAAGGGAAAGGCTACCCACTCCAATATTCTGGCCTAGAGAATTCCATGGACAGTATAGTTTATCCATATTAATTAGAAAATGCCCACCTTCTAGGCATTTCAACGCATATTGCAATTTTTTTTTCTACTTTGAATTTTAAATTCTAAAATAATCTGTCGTTACTAGAATGACTTCCCTCATGCTATCTTACAAAAAAGACTGAAAATCTAGAATGAAGATGTTTTGATCTGTTCTTGCATAAATAGCTCTCATGTGGCTCAGCTCCAGAGAGAAAATGCTATTAATGTGGAATTATTAGATTAAGTGAATTTACTGGTTCCAAAACAATATTCTTGATGGATGCAGAATTTCTTTTGTTTGTTCCAATATGTTATTTAAGGTAAACTCTAACCTTAATGTCACTTTTATCTGCTTTCTTCAATATGAACTGTACCTTGACCAGATGACCTCTATTAAGAGAATTATTTTCTATTACTAGTATAGTGTTAAAAAGAAAAGTGATTTTGATTTGTGGTGTTGGAGAAGACTCTTGAGAGTCCCTTGGACTGCAAGGAGATCAAACCAGTCAGTCTTAAAGGAAATCAGTGCTGAATATTCACTGGAAGCTGAAGCTCCAATACTTTGGTCACCTGATTTGAAGAGCTAACTCATTGGAAAATACCCTGATGCTGGGAAAGACTGAAGGCAGGAGGAGAAGGGGACAACGGAGGATGAGATGGTTAGACTGCAGCTCCGACTTGACAGACTTGAGTTTGAGCAAACTCTGGGAGATGGTGAAGGACAGGGAAACCTGGGATGTTGCAGTCCATGAGGTTGTAAACAGTCAGATATGACTGAGCGACTGAACTGAACTGAATTGAGTGAGGGATACAAGAAAAAATAAAGTAGCAGTAAGATAACTGAAGTAGAAACTGTTTCACTGGGAGAATTTTAATAAAATGTCTTTAGAAGAAGGTCCCCAAGAAATCATTGAATCCAACTTCTTATTTTTTTGTTGGAGGAAGACAAAAAGAGATAAAATCATTGGATAAGAAGTACTTTGCAGATCAAAGGCTAGAATGTATGTCAAATGAGTTTAATTCAGTGTCTTATCTACCTTGGCTCATATCAATTTTATTTCTTTACTGTGTCTGTATCTATCATGTATCTCTCTATAGATTTGTCTATTGATTTATCTACTGATCTATTTATCTATTGATCTATCTTCATCTACATCTATGCCTATGTAATCATGACTTTCTATGTACATGTCCTTTAATAATCTTGTTCTCTAAAAGTATTCAAATTTGGAAGAAAGTTCAAAACAGCTTTTCCCACACCATGTCACCTAGTGTCTTGAAATAAACTGAGAATTTTAAATAATATGCAAATGATGTCCTAAGGAATTAAATTGAATTATGCTTAATTGAGGATATAAGTTATATATCACCCACATTAGCTTATTTTATCACTTATATAAGTCATACATAACTTTTTATAAATATTTTGTTGCAAATTAACCCAACCCATTAAAGAAATGAGGTTATAGTGGCAAGGTTGGCCAAATAAGCTCAGTTCAATTCAGTTGCTCAGTTGTGTCCAACTCTTTGTGACCCCATGGACTGCAGCACACCAGGCTTCCCTGTCCATGACCATCTCCTAGAGTTTACTCAACTCGTGTCCGTTGAGTCGATGATGCCATTCAACCATTGCATCCTCTGTTGTCCCCTTCTCTTCATTCAATCTTCTCAGCATCAGGGTCTTTTCCAATGAGTCAGTTCTTCACATTAGGAGGCTAAAGTGTTGGAGTTTCAGCTTCAGCATCAGTCCTTCCAATGAATATACAGGACTGATTTCCTTTAGGATAGATTGGTTAGATCTCCTTGCAGTCCAAGGGACTCTCAAGAGTCTTCTCCAATGAAACAGTTCAAAAGCATCAATTATTCAGTACTCAAATTTCTTTACGGTCCAACTCTCACATCCATACATGACCACTGGAAAAACCACAGCTTTGGCTAGATGGAACTTTGTTGACAAAGTAATGTCTCTGCTTTCTAATATGCTGTCTAGGTTGGTCATAGCTTTTCTTCCAAGGAGCAAGCGTCTTTTAATTTCATGGCTGCAGTCACCATCTGCAGTGATTGTGGAGCCCAAGAAAAGAAAGTCTGTCACTGTTTCCATTGTTTCCCCATCTATTTGCCATGAAGTGATGGGTCCAGATGCCATGATCTTTGTTTTTCGAATGTTGAGTTTTAAGGCAGCTTTTTCACTCTCCTCTTTCACTTTCATCAAGAGGCTCTTTAGTTCCTCTTTGCTTTCTGCCATAAGGGTGGTGTCATCTGAATATTTGAGGTTATTGATACTTCTCCTACCAATCTTGATTTCAGCTTGTACTTCATCCAACCCGGCATTTTGCATTATATACTCTGCATGTAAGTTAAATAAGCAGGGTGACGGTATACCACCTTGACGTATTCCTTTCCCAATTTGGAACCAGTCTGTTGTTCCATGTCCAGTTCTAACTGTTGTTTCTTGACCTGCATACAGATTTCTCAGGAGGCAGGTAAGGTGGTCTCTATCCCCATCTCTTTAAGAATATTCCACAGTTTGTTGTGATCCACACAGTCAAAGGCTTTGGCATTTGACAAAACAGAAGCAGATGTTTTTCTGGAACTCTCTTGCTTTTTCTATGATCCAACAGATGTTAGCAATTTTATCTCTGGTTCCTCTGCCTTTTCCAAATCCAGCTTGAACATCTGGAAGTTCACGGTTCATGTACTGTTGAAGCCTGTCTTTAAGAAATTTGGGCATTACTTTGCTAGCGTGTGAGATGAGTGCAATTGTGTGATAGTTTGAAAGTTCTTTGGCACTGCCTTTCTTTGGGATTGGAATGAAAACTGACCTTTTCTAGTCCTGTAGCCACTCCTGAGTTATCCAAATTTGCTGGCATAGTTGAGTGCAGCACTTTCACAGCATCATCTTTTAGGACTTGAAATAGCTCGACTGGAATTCCATCGCCTCCACTAGACTTGTTCATAGTGGTGATTCCTAAGGCCCACTTCGCATTCCAGGATGTCTGTGGCCCAGATCATAAACTCCTTATTGGAAAATTCAGACTTACATGGAAGAAAGTAGGGAAAACCACTAGACCATTCACATATGACCTAAAAAAAATTCCTTATGATTATACACTGGAAGTGACAAATAGATTCAAGGGATTAGATATGATAGACAAAGTACCTGATGGAGGTTTGTGACATTGTACAGGAGACAGTGATCAAGACCATCCCCATGAAAAAGAAATGCAAAAAGGCCAATAAGCTACCTGAGCAGAAATGCTTCAGAAAAAAATTCCAGAAAAACTTAAGGATTATAATAAACTGATGGTGGTTTATTTGGTCAGTCATGTCCGACTCTTTGTGACCCCATGGACTATAGCCCACCAGGTTCCTATGTCCATAGAATTCTGCAGGAAAGAATACTGGACTGGTTTGCCATTTCCTTCTCCAGGGGATCTTCCTGACCCAGGGACTGCAGGCAGATTCTTTACCAACTGAGCTACCAGGGAAGCCCCTATAATAAGCTAGTGATAGATGAACAATCTCCATTTGATTCATATGTGCATTTCTCACTGACTCAAGTCGAGCTTTATTAATATGCTTTTACTTTAGATGTTGTAAATGATGAGCTTCCTTCTCATTTCCTAACAACAATAACAGTAATAAAATATTAGTACCCAGGGTGCCAAGCACTATTTACATCATTGTTGCTCAGTCATGCCTGACTCTTTTATGACCCCAGGAACTGTAGCCCACCAGTCTATGGAATTTCCCAGGCAAGAATAGTGGGGTGGGATGCCATTTCCTATTCCAGGAGCACTGTTTTACTTACACAATCAATTAAACTAGGAATAAGAGAGCCTTTGCTATTTTCTTTCACTGAGGCCTCTGTTCCATCCAGGGGCCCAGCCAAAGGACCCACTTCTAGTCCTGTGCCCTGACTAGTCAGAACTTGGTCAACCCTGGCGGAACCCTGAGTACCTGCTTCTGCTGCTCCCCGTGCCCTCACTGGATTCTGGTGCATCTTTTGTTTTTATGGTCCATCCATTTGCTGATTTGAATGCATTGATGGTTTGTAGAGATCATGTGTCTTTTGGGTAAAAGACGATAAAGAATCTGATTTATTAGTCTCTCCTGTTTGTCTGCTTTGTCTGTCTTGAGCTCAAATCAGTTAAGGATGCATACACTTTGGGGAAGAGAATTGCTCTTTGGTTTGAGCAGTGAGTTTTTTAATCTTGTGTTTACCTCTGACCCATGTCTGAAATTCTGCACCAAAGCCAGAAGCTTTCTCTCTCTGAGTCACAGGTTTCTACGTCTGTGACTCAGAAAGGCCTTTATCTCTCACTGGTGAGTATGTAGTATTTCCCTTTCTCCTGATGATATTACTAAATTAGATTATAAATCTCTTAAAGGAACTATGATCTGATTGCACCTATATACATCAAATATTTGTAAAAGTTCCATAAATGAAGGAAATGTAACTTTGGGTACTTTCAATGTTCTCAAAAACTGTATTCTTATAGCCCGACAGGCTCCTCTGTCCTTGGAATTCTCTCGGCAATAATACTGGAGTGGGTAGCCATTTCCTTCTCCAGGGGATCTTCCCAATCCAGAGATCAAATCTGGATCTCCTGCATTGCAGGCAGATTCTTTACCATCTAAGCCACTAGGGACTCCATATTTCTATCGAAATCAACCCAAACAACATTCTCACTATTGCAATAAGCTGAAAGAAATCATATCTTTCATTGTCCAGTGCATTTTACCCTTGACACCAAAGATCTATTTTCCGGCACTAGAGTAGTTTTCATGTTCTGGAATTTTGTATAAATGAAATTTGTCCTTTTTTGGGGGGTCTGGCTTCTTTCACTCACTGTTATTGTTTCAAGTATTAGCAGTGAGGACTCCCTATTATGGCTGAAGAGTGTTCTATTACATGAATAGGCCACAATTTGTTCATCTACTCACCTGTTGCTGGACATTTGGGTTGTTTCTGGTTTGGAACACTCATGTACAAAAATTTTCATGGACATACGCTTTCACTTCTCCTGGGTCAATACCTAGCAGTCAGAAGGCTGGTTCTGAGCAGATTTTAGTGTTGAGCTCTATTACTCTTCTGTTAGAATGTCTTGAAATTGAACCCTTCTTTTTATGTGGCCGAGGGAGTGATTTTAAGCAGAAATTTTCCACAGAGAGATTTTCCAAAGCTCACAGGATGACCTAAACTACACTTTTGACCAGAACAATGAATTTGAAAAATCTGTGTGGCTCTACAGGTTTTATTCAAAAAGAGAGAATCTAGGTTGCCTGAAATATCTGTAAGTTTCAAATAATATTTCCAATAGCACAAAATTATCCCAATGAGACACTTAACCAGAAATTACACTAGTGATGGTCATAAACACGAATGAATAGATCAGAAGCTTCATTGATACAGGAAAGTAATATTATGAGGGTGATTGTGGGGGATGATGAAAGAGGTTAAAAAATTATCTCAGAACGGTCTTTTAAGCACATTTCTTCATAAAGTTTTTTGTGTTTTTTTGGATGTGAACCATTTATAAGTCTTTACTGAATTTGTTACAGTATTGCTTCTGTCTTATGTTTTGGTTTTTTGGCCACAGGGCATATGGCATCTTAATTCCCTGACCAGGGATCACACCTGCACCTCCTACATCCAAGGTGAAGTCTTAACCACTGTACCATGAGGGAAGTCCCTAAACACATTTCTTTATAGATGGTATCTGTGCCTCTAATCAGCTCCTTCCTGCTGCTGCTAAGTCGCTTCAGTCGTGTCCAACTCTGTGTGACCCCATAGACATCAGCCCACCAGGCTCCCCAGTCCCTGGGATTCTCCAGGCAAGAACACTGGAGTGGATTGCCATTTCCTTCTCCAATGTGTGAAAGTGAAAAGTGAAAGTGAAGTTGCTCAGTCGTGTCTGATTCTTAGCGACCCCACGGACCGCAGCCTACCAGGCTCCTCCGTCCATGGTATTTTCCAGGCAAGAGTACTGGAATGGGCTGCCATTGCCTTCTACGATCCCCTTCCTGTGGGCCTATAATCATGTTCAAGACTTTTCCCTGAGAAGTAAAACAGAAGGACACTTTGCCTCCACTCTCCCCCATGACCCATCCCCCTTCATCTTGCCGAGCCAGTCCTTTGTCAAGTTCCCCTGGCCTGCAGGTGGCCTTCTGGGGAGGATGGGTTTCCATTCCATGCTCCTGCTCAGTCATATCAGACTCTTTGAGACCCCATGGACTGTAGTCTGCCAGGCTCCTCTGTCCATAGGATTTCCCAGGCAAAAATACTAGAGTGGATTGTCATTTCCTCCTCCAAGAGATCTTCCTCACCTGGGGATGGAACCCTCAGCTCCTGCATTACAGGTGGATTCTTTACCCAGGCAGCCATGGAGAAGCCCTGGGTTTCCACTATCAGCAATATCAGCAATTATCACTAATTGCTCCCCTCAATACTGTTCATCACATGCTTCCTGCTTAGCTGTCTGCTGCCCTGAGTCTGCGGTCCTGCCTTCCGCCCGGTGATTCTCCTGCATCCTCACCTTTCGCGTGGATTTTTCCGTCCTTCTCATAAACATCAGGGTCCTCACTGCTCTGTCCTCTCTACACATGCTTGCTCTGACGCCGAGGTGAGGATGTCAACTTCTCTTGAGTGAACAACAGACTCAGAAGCCCCTGGAAGAGGGTGAATTAGGAAAAGGCAGCCCACTCCCTTCTCCCTGCAGAGGCACAGCTGAGCCCAGGGCACGAGGTTCCCGGAATCTGTGCCCTCAGGCATCACCCCCGACACCCTTTTTCCTGCTCTGGGTGTCTCTTTGCTTCTAGCTGGTTCTCACTGTTTCAGGAAATGCAGTTTAAAATGTTCCTCGCCACTGCAGGTCTCCTCCTTTAACTCACCGCCCCTTCATTCTGCTCTGATGAAGGAGACTGGCGTCTGTAATTACAAACAAGATTCACCTCCAGCTGGCATGTTTTCTGAGAACAGCAGGAAGCACACAAGTACTGATAGTAATGTTTTCTGGATAAAATTACAGTTTCTTTTTTTTTTTATTCAGAGTAGCTTATTAGAATAGCTTTGACTGATATGATTCCCCACTCATCTCTTCAGTGATATCATTTTAATAGAAATGAATGTGTTTATATATGGTAGGAAAATTATTGGAGAAGGAGAAATTTATTGCAAAATACTGGGAGAAGGTAAGAAGGAAGTTGCTACCAGGAAATGGCCACTGATGATGTGTTCATTGAAAGATTAACTTTTCACAAAATCTCTTTTCAATATTTCTTTGTATTTCCTAATTTTCAGTGCAATTTTGTCTGTGTTGACTTGCTAATGTATTTGTGTGTCAATGAAGAATAATTTGCAAGAAAAAATACAGCCCAATATTAAATAATAACAAACAGCATTGCTGTTGTTTCCACTAGAGGTCAGACAAAATAAACGTGCCGGAGACTTTGTTCCTGTGTCCTTCATGAAATATAATAAAGCTGAGCTATTTCCAGTGCATATTAAACACATGCTTTGTATTTCTCCTAGCTTTTCCATGGAGCCAGAAGAGAATGCATCTATTACTGTAGATTATGTAGTCGAAATCATATCCGTTTATTACTCTGACTTTTTAAATGAAATGAATAGTTTATGAATTTGTAACGAAATTGTAAGCATTTACAACATTATATTCCTTAGCCGACTGTTGCTAACTCGACTCATAAAGATATATGAAGTTTCATATATATTTTAAAAAGACATACAGTGTGAATCAGTGAAAGGATTTTGCTCAAGATTCTTTTATAATAACTAGCTTTAGTAATGAACATATTTTATACATTGTACTATCTTCTTTATAAGATATATTAAAAATGGACTTATAGACATAGAGAACAGATTTGTGGTTGCCAAAGGGAAGGGGAGGAGAGGGCAGGGTGGATTGGGAGAGTGGGGTTAGCAGATGCAAATTGGTATATTTAGGATGGAGAAACAACAAGGTCCTACTGTATAACACAGGGCACTATAGTCATTATCTTGTGATAAACAATAATGGAAAAGAATATGAAAAAGAATGTATGTATATGTATAACTGGTTCACTTTGCCATACAGCAGAAACTAACACAACATTGTAAATCAACTATACTTCAATAAAATTAAAATACAGATATATTAAACACCAAATCTCAGTAAAATCTCTGCTGAGTACCAAGAGAATCTCCCTCTCCACCCACCATCCCCCAGCCACCTCCTACCCTTGAATCTTTACTGTGAAGATGGAATGGACAGGCCTGGAGGCAGGAGGACCCGGCTTTGCTTTGCATCAAAGCTGTGACCTTAGGAGAGCTCAGCAAATTCTCTGGTCATGGCCTGTGTTCACAGTTGGATGGAGCCATAGGGACCAGGGCCAGTAGCTGCAAGGGCTTGGGGGGGTGGGGTGGGCGGTGACTGGATCATGGAGGCAGGAATTCTTACAGTGAAAGGCCCCCAGAAGAGCACAGACCCTCTTAGATCCTAATGGGTTTGGAGAAGGTGCTGGAAAGCCTATAGATTATGGGGCAGAGACTTGAATTAAATCACAATTTCCTCTAATATCCAAACAACACAGAAGCTAGAACTTGAGGATGTTTATAATACTTGTAAACAGTGCTGCCCCGAACTATTTTACCTGTGAAAGACAGTTAAGTAAAACACACCTTACAGGTTAAATACCATTAGTTGCTCATACCTCACTTCCCGAGAGTTGTCCTCGTGTTGTGACTGCGCCCTGTGGACCCCACTACCTCTGCATTCCAAGTCTTCCTTGCCCTGCTCTTGTCTGCTCTTGTTTATGTACCTGTCCCAGGTGATGCCCCTGTATCACCTTCTGTGTTAGTCAGATCTGACCATCAATATCGGCCCCCCATCCTGGCCTCCATCCTGCGCTTCATGTATCTCTTCCTTGTCTCCTGCCAGCTCCTGCGTACAGGTATCCATCTCCATCTCCAGTCTGTGATTCCGTCCATCCTTTAAGTCTCAGTTCAACTATTACTGCCTGGAAGTGAAGAGCTGGGGGTGCACTCAGGCCAAAAGCACCAACACCCCCTCTCCAGCTTCTGGGAGATGTGTGCCCCTCACTAAAGGGAGCCCCCTGGGCCTGGCCATGCCCTTCATGGGCTGTGGGGTCTCAGGACTCCTTGGAGGTTGGTGGTGGATCCAAAGGCCCAGCCCCTGGCTTCAGCATGGACCAGCTCTGTGGTGCCAAGTCATCCCGGTAGTGGAAATGCAGTGTTCCAACTGTTGGAACTCCAGGGATGTCCCTACTACTGATATTTTTAGAAAAAGCCTTCAGATATTTTAGGG